TAAGACTGACATGAAGAGCCTATTAGTATATATCCTCACATATTGGTGAACCATCTCTACTTTGATTCATGAAATGGGTAACTATTACAATTGAAAGGAAAACAGACATTGTCACATCTGAAGTTTTTGTTTTCTGTTGTCAAAAATCTGTAAGCTCTCTGATAAGGGAATTTTACAGTTTTAAAATGGGTGTATAACTAAGTTAGTGATTTATTTCTGGTGCTCTATAACTACTTGTTCCTTTATCTTTTCCTCATTGGTCTTTTTTTGCTAACCCCACTGAAGAGATTTTGAATTTGCCTGTTCCTTGCCTAAAAAGCAAAGCACTATGCTCTAACTACTTTTGAACATGATGTTTCAGGAAGATTTTATATCTACTGTGGACAAACTTCAATCAGGATTAATTTCTTTGTGTTATAATAAGAACCATCAAAAGATATTTTAAAGCCATGAGATTTAGATTATTTAGCAGTTATCTGTTTATGCATTATGTATAAGCTTTGAAAATGTAAGCTAGAAAGTCCAAGACCAGCATGAGAAGCTTATTAGGATATAAATCTGAAGTAAGACCCTGAGGGGAAACAGAATTTCCAGCTAATATTACAGAGAAATTGTGAAAAAGTCATTAATTCATATTATACTGTTTTGCTATTCTATTAAGTAATGCATAAATAAATTCACAGTCACCATTTCCATTTCAATATGAACAATAACATTAAAGCAGTAGCTAGGGGTCAAAAGAGCTAATGAAGCTACAACATAAACCTGAAATCAGAATAATTCTTTGTCAGTCTCCAAACAATGACAACAAAATGAATAAACAATGAAAAACCAAATGTCTAATACATTCTTACTGCTAATAATTAACTTGAAATTATCTGATTAAAAATCTGCTTTCACTCTCGCACACATGAAAAAAAGTACTGCAAAGTGCTGATACCAAGTATAAGATGACCTCTACGTCTAGAATTTATTTTGCAACCACAGCCCTTGCTCAGCATTTCCCATCCAGAGCTAAGGAAGGGCACAAGATAACACATATCTAGCTTTAAATAGGATTCAAGAATGTTGGAATACTGCCAGCTCAAAAATGTCACCCTGAAAACTCACCTTTGGGTTGAGAGAAATGATGATTAATAACCAATGATTTGGAGAGATCCAGAGTTTCCCTTTTTTCTATAGTCCTCATTTCAGTGTTCAGTCTCTTGAAGGACATTGAATCAACTTTCCTCTATCTTGGTCAGACACCATCCAATCTTACTAGGAATCTCTAATCTAAGGTGAATTCCACTCAATCAAGCTTGGGTGGAGGTAGATCCTTTGTCTAGACTGCCCAAGACTAGGGGTGGTCTGGTTAAAGGGATATTCTCTCTCTCTAAGAATGAAGTGATATCATTCTCAGCCTTTCATTGGAGAGAGCTCATTTCTTTTTATAAAGTCTACCTCTCATTAATTGTTTGTTTGTTTTGGAGGCAATGGGGATTAAGTGACTTGCCCAGGGTCTCACAGTTAGCTAGTAAGTGTCTGAGGTCAGATTTGAACTCAGGTCCTTCTGACTCCAGGGCCAGTGCTCTATCCACTGCACCATCCAGCTGCCCCTCTCTCATGAATTATTAACCAATGAGACTTGATTGCAACCCACTGGAGCACCCACTTCTCCAAGGCCATAAAAGCCTTGAGCCCACTGCCATAAGGGCCTTGGCATTAGAGAATGCCACTGACCTATTTTATTAAAATTCTAGCATTATTGACAAAATAACTAATAACCCAGAAATTATGTCTCTCAAACTTTTTAAACATCACAGGGGGAATGCCTGTTTGCACTCTCTTCCTGAGCTAGCCTGCTATGCAGAGAGCATGCAGCATTGTCACAGAGGAACTTAGTCAGTTAATTAGTCAGTATACATTTATTAAGTGTCTACTATGTGCCAACCACTGTGCTAAGTGCTAAAGTATTGCATGATATGAAGGGCAAGTTGGACTCACAATTCATATAACATCTCAGATCCCTTCCTCATAAATATTTATGATTAAGGGAATAGCGCTAAATAAGTGTTTCTCAGGCTTTTATAAAATAGTCCTCATATTGACATGAGAAAAGAAAATAGCTTCCCTATATCTCTGAAGTAAGACAGAAAGGAATTCTTTTTGATATAGGCTACTTTTAGAGAATGAGAATCTGTGTGTTTGTGTGTATATATATGTGTATGAAAAAGACAGAGAGAAAAGAGTCAGTTAGAGACAAGAGAGAGAGGAAGAAAGAGGGGAGAAAGGAAAGGAGAGAAAGGAGGGAGAGAGATAGAGATAGAAGATAGGGAGAGACAGAGAGAGAGAGGAAAAGATAGGAGAGAGGGAGAGGGAGACAGATAGTGGAGAGAGAGAGTGAGACAGAGATAGAGAGAAAGAGAGAGAGTCAGAGAGAGACAAAGAGGGAAGAGAGATACCACCACCCTGATAATTTATAGCCCTCTGATTTTATATACCATTCTATGAATTACAAAGAACAATTCAATATTAACAGAATAACCCACAGCTTGTTAAATCTAAATCAATTCTAAGTGAAATTCAGAATTTTCATAGATTTAATTTCTACACATTTAAAATTCATAGTTATTTAAATTATAAATAAAACAAATATTCAGCTTGAAAGGTTTTTTTTAGCTAAGATATTTAACGAATACAATTTTAAATGGAAATCTAGGTATGGAAGTTTAAATGCTATGACAATCCATCCATTTGATGGCAGAGTCGGCAAAGTTGTGCTTAAAGATAAGAGAGTCAAAATAAACCTACGTTCAAACCAAAAAACCCGCTAAAAGGTGTGTTTTATTTTTCCTTGTCAGAACTGAATAGAGAAGTCTTGGAGGAACCAGCAACACATTCCCTTACAGCAAAATTGAAAATGTTTTAGTTCAACATCCTGCTTTTCAGATTTTTGAGGTCAAATCAAAGGTTTTTAATGAGAAAAAAATGGATATAGTGTGAAGACAGAGGGATCAAATTTGGGTAGTTTGATTTCCAGCCCTGTATGCCTTATGATTAGTTGTGTGAGTAGGCAGCTCTGTTCACTCCTCTCTCCTGTTAACTTTTCTAAAAGGAGAGGAATTAGACTAAATTACTTCTAAGGTCATAGTGGAATAGAGAAGTAAAGAGTGCCAGGTTGATGTAAAAGCATTGATCCTGGATTTATAGGTGCAAAGGATCTTAGAAATTATTTAGTTCAACTGAAATATAAATGAAATTAATCAGGCTCAAGAGAACTATATTGGTCATTATTTTCATGTAGCCTTTGCCTATGTTGTCTTTGCCTATGTCTGTCATGGGAAACAAGAAAGCAATTTCCTGCCTCCAAAAAGGAAGCTGGACAGATTCCCAAGGTGTTCTCATTTTATAGGTGAGGCTAAAGCAGGGCCATAGAGTATAAGTAACTTGGCCCAGGTTTATATAGGTAGTAACTACTGGATCCATTAAACTTCTTAAGTACATTTTAATCAAAGTACAGATTTCAAAGCTGAACAATGCTACTTTGATAATTCCTCCTGAGGGTTTTTGAATTCTGAATTTTTATCCATGAAGTTTTTCACTATAATATATATTTTCCAAAAACTAACTTGAATAGATGGTATCAAACAGGGAATTCCACAACACACTGGGCATTTGCAAAAAAAAAAAGCCAAGGTGATGGAGCTTGGTTTTATCCTAAAATATCTATGAGAAATATCCATTTGATTTTTTGATAAACATGAGACAAAGGGAGGAGAAAGAGGAAGTGATGGAGAACAGTTACATATAAAGAAATTATAGTTTTGTTAAGCAAAAGTTGCCCTCCCTAACTGATTTCTATTAGTATTTTGTGTTGATAAGAAACCTGGAACTGATTTAGGAATATTCTACTAACATTCAGAGTCCATCTTTGATAGTGGCTTCAAATAAATTTTACTGAAAAACTTGAGGAAATCACTAAAATGTCCCTTGTGGGGGAAATCTAATCAATAATGCCAAGAAAAGGGGGCAGTTAGGGGGCTCAATGGATAGAGCACCGGCCCTGGATTCAGGAGGACCTGTGTTCAAATCTGACCTTAGACACATAATACTTACTAGCTGTGTGACCCTGGGCAAGTCACTTAACCCCATTGCCTAGTCAAAAAAGAAAAAAAGAAAAAAGAAAAACAAACAAAAAATAATTCCAAGAAAACAAAATATTAACAACAAAACAACAAAACAAACAATATAGTCAGAGGAAAATGCAAATACAATGGCATATAAGTAAACACAAAGTCATATAAAGTGAAGGTTAACAAATTTTCATTTTAGTGAAAAGATAGATTGATCTAAAAAGCAAAAACAGGGATCATTCAGTATTAATGACAACTTTAACAACAATGAACTATGTTGTATTTTAAGATTTGTAAAGCACTTATTTGATAACTCATTTGATCCTTATATCAGCCCAGGAGGGTATATCCTATTACTATCATCACCATTTTTTCAGTTGAAGAAAATGAAGCTAAGAAAGGTTAAGTGACTTGCCCAGGGTCACAAAACTAGGAAATATCTGAGGTGTCATTTGAATTCATCTTCCTGTCCCCAAGTAATCATCTATGATAATCAACAGAAGCACAGGGGTAAAAAATAATTTGGAAAGCATACAGGTGCTCCGAAGTTTGGGTTACAAATGTCTGATAGAATATAAAAACAATTTTTCCTTGTACTGGGAAAAATATACGAAGATTAATATTTTTCTGTCTAAGACTTCATTAGGTCAGGAATCCAACCTTCAAGCTTTGTAAAAGCAAGGGCATCAAAAGAGCCAAATGATTCCCTTCTTAAAATCTGATACAGAGGACCAAAAGAAACTAAGTCCCAGGGATAGCTGCAATGGAAAAAAAGTACTAGGCTATTAGGTACTTTTCTAGAGTACATAGTTGGGCTTAAGAAAGCAAACAAAATTAACCATTTCCCTCTTTTCTGGATAGAGAGAAAATCCTGTCCTTACTTACTTAGAGACAGCATACAGGGCAAAGGACACACAGGGGATTCACTTTCTGCTGACTCTGTGAAGTTTTCTCAGACAGACCCGCCCCAAGGAGGGATCTTCAGCAAAAATTGCCTCCTGGGAACAGTATTTTAATACAGATTCCTATGAAAGAAGACATATAGAATAGATTTAGAAGTTAATTTTTTGGCTGTTCGTTGGTTAACACAATAAAGATTCTATTCTACTTCCCCAATAAACCTGAATAAAAAGAGATTTGGGTGACTATCAAATTCCATGAGTTAATTACATGCTATTATTGCATTAAGGAAACTGTGAACATTTCAAAGGAAACACAGGCAACAGAAAAAAAAAAAAAAACTCAAGTCCCAATGAAATATAGGACAGGAATGAATGAACTACCCCTAATAATAATGTACAATTCTCCAGAGAGAGACATCAAGAAGATAAAGAAAAAAATTGATCTAATTCTAGTTATAATACTTTACAGGAATAAAACACACTTGACAATCACATAAATAACAAAGGTCATTGTAGGGAGTCATTTACAACCTAAAACGCCAAATACGAATTAAGCCATGAATAACTAATTATAAGACCAAGTCCAGTGTTAAAAGGAATCTGGAAATTTTTTTTAAAGTGGTGGGGAGGATTTAGAGAGAGCTTTGAAGCAAAAGGGAAGAAATTCAAGGCACCTGGGAAGAAAGACGGCTCTAAACAAACCATTGTGAGAAGCCCAAAGTAAAAAATAAAAGAAATGCAATGAAATCTCAATTAGATGGAATCCAACTAATCAGAACCCACAACTAGAGCTTTTTTCCTTCCAATCCATGCTTATGAGTAAGAGGCAAATTATACAAAAACAATCTGAGAGTAGAGACTTCTTATGTTAATAAAATCTATGGGTTCCAGGGTTATTGCACCTACAGCTCAGTATAAAGACTGTTTGGAATAATGATGCCAAGTCAAATCACTTTCCCCTTCCCCACAAAAAAATCAAGTTATCTTCAAGATATTGTACTTACTAAGTCACAGATGCATTCTAATAAATATAAGACTATTTCGAACAGCATGAATGAAAATGTAACTAGTTTTTCAAAAATCTCTGACAATACTATTTAAGATTACTAAACTAAGTTTATGAAGTTAGCATTTTCTCTATGTGCTAGCATTTTCTTTGATGTCCTCTGTCTATTTATGGGATAAGTGTACAGGGCCTAAATGTCAGATGAATGAATCATAATGTGGACTAGCAATAGGCAAGTGCAGCAGGAACTAGAGAAAGTCTTCATTTACCTCACAATGTAAATTTAAACTTCCTTTATTTTCCCTGATTCTTTTCAGAATTTTCTTATCATATATTGCTGGTTTCTAACTTTGCATGAACTTTTTTTTTTTATGAAAAACTTGGGTGGGTCCCTAGAAATTCTGTTAAAATGAAAATGATCTAAATTCCTTCAAACTTCAAGTAGTGTCTGAGTAATGAAGTTTTAATATATTTATATATTTAGAGGTGGTAACTATGTTAATTTTGAGGTTATGCTCATAACTGAAGGCATGGATCAATGAGACTCATTCCTTTATAACATTCAAGTTTAAATGTCTGATTGAAATCTATGAACATCGTTTACAAATTATACAGGGAAAAATTAATAAACCATTTTTGCTAACTGATTTTAGTCATCTTAGAGCAATGTTCCTTTTCCAATTTGTTGCTTCATTAGATTTAAATTATGCAAATTGTTTCTGTTCTTAGAATAGCTGCTCTATTAAATACAATAAGATCTAAATTACAAATATTTAATGTATTTTAATTAAACAAAAGAATAATCCAAACTTATTAGTTTCTGAAACTTCAGGCATATCCTAATGACACTGTGACAGTCAGAATTATCTTTTATTATTCATTTTAATAATAAAAGGAAAATATGGATTTTAATTAAAGTTTCTAGGACCAAATCAAAGTGTTAATCATAATGATGTTCTCTTCTTGAAACTCTTAGAAAACTTTCCATTTTTCTTGTAGGTCAATGGCAGTGAAAATTAAATAGTTGCTCCTATTCTCTCTGTCAAGCCAAGCAAGGTTAAGTAACAGAGCAAGTTCATTTATTTGGGAAATTAGTTAAAGTGTCTATGTTGTTCCTAACAGCTAATTCACTACTGGAGTCTAAATTGCCTTCTAAATACAAATAGCTACATAAACTGGCACAGCCAACTAATTCTTTTGAGGTACAAAGGATATTAATTTTTCCTGGGTAAAGATTTCTAAACAGAAAGGTGTGATATTTTTTGACATCATGAGTAGAAAATTAAGCCATAGTTCTCATAACTGGCAGCATGAATGTTATAGTTACAGTAATTATTTGTGTGAAATAGGCTTAGAATTTACATTCAAGAAATATATTGCAAATACCAAGCCAAATACAGTTCATCATCCCCTGAGGCAATCAGAGAAATTAAAGGAGTCAGACTTCTTAGGCCATTTATTTTTCTCCTACCACAGAACAATTGGTCTCTAAAGGAGGTTCTCAAGTGCTTTCTCTAACTTAGCTTTCAATAATTCCCTTGAAAGGTTTTTTTCTAATATCTTTTCTGTGAAATGACTCAAATATCTGACCAACAAAAACAACAGGAAATTTTTCTCTGCTCCTTTTTGGATCAAACACATATTATGAAAGCCAGATGTTGCTTATTGGTTCACCTCAACAATCCTTTCCATCCATCTTTCAGATCTTTACAAATGGCTCCTCTCAGTTGTTAAATATTTCTATCATAAATAAGCTCATTAAAATAAAGTATAAGCTGAATATATATTCATTTCAATATGTCCTTAGGGCCCATGTTGTTGGATCATTTTATACAGAAAGAGCAACGTCATTATTGTACTTCTGGTACCTTGAAAAGAGTCCAAGGTTTCCAAGATGCTGTTTGGCACCTCCATTGTCTGCACCCACATAGTTCAAAAGCAGAGAAAAGTACTTTCATTTGAGACTAAGCAGGAGTCCTGAGGGGCAACTGTTTGGTGACTTCATTGCCTATACCCCTTTCTGGGTTATAGTTCAAGTGTAGGAAGAAGCACTTTCAGTCAAGAGGGAGCAGGGACCCTTCTGGTCCTAAAAGATCAGGGATCCTGAGAAACAATATCACTTGGTCCCAATGGAGTAGTGGCCTTGAGGAGCAGTATCAAATGCAATCCCAAGAAGTGAGGGGCTCTTCCTGGATAAGGACAAAAGTGCAGACCAAGAGAGCAATGACCATACATCTCCCTAGATCACACAACCTTGGAAGTACCACAAATTTCCAACATTCTTCTCCCCCATCCCAAACTTGTTCTGAAAACAGCAGTGTGAAAAAAGGCTGAAGTTAGAGACAGTACCTCTTTCCACCCTTATCCTCATGCTGGGAACAGAACCCAACTTTAATATAAAGTTCAAAATCAAGAAATAGTGTGGGAAAATGAACAAAAAAAAATAGAAAAGAACCTGACCAGGGAAGATCAAGATACAAACTCAGAAGAAGACAATGAAATCAAAAGAGCAAAGCCTCAAAGAAAAAAAGTGAATTGGACACAAGCCCCACAAGAATTTCTGGAAGAGCTAAAAAAAACTATTTTAAAAATCAAGTAAGAGTGGTAGAAGAAAAATTAGGTTAAGAAATGGAAGCAAAGGAAGAAAATTATTAAAAAAAACAATCAACAGTTTGGTGAAAAGAGGCACAAAAATACTGAAGGAAAAACACCTTAAAAAAACAAAATTGGCCAAAAGAAAAAAGAGGTAAAAAAAATTCACTGATGAAAATAATTCCTGAGAAAGCATGATTGAACAAATGGAAAAAGAGGTACAAAAGCCCACTGAAGAAAATAATCCCTTAAAAATTAAAATTGGTCAATTAGAAGCTAATTGCTTCATGAGACATCAAGAAACAATAAAATAAAGTTGAAAGAATGAAAAATGTAAGAGAAAACATGAATTATCTCATCAGAAAAACAAGTGAGCTAGGAAACAGACCACATAGAGACAATTTTTAAATTATTGGACTACCCAAAAGCCATGATAATAAAAAGAACATAGACATTATATTTCAAAAAATCATCAAGGAAAACTGTCCTGGTATCCTTGAACTAGAGGGCAAAATAGAAATTGAAAGAGTCCATTGATTATCACCTGGAAGAGATCTCAAAATGAAAGTCCCCAGGAAGATTATAGCCAAATTCCAGAGCTCCCATGTCAAAGAGAAAATTGTTCAAGAAACCAGACAGAAACCATTCATATACCATGGAACCACAGACAGGATCACACAAGATTTAGCAACCAGGAGTGAAGGACTTAGAATACGATATTTCAGAACACAAAAGAGCTGGGATTACAGCCAAAAATAACCTACACAGCAAAACTGAGTATAATCTTTGAAGGGGGAAAAATTGGATATTTAATGAAATAGAGGATTTTCCAAGCATTCCTGATGAAAAGAACAGCAGAAAATTTGGCTGTCAAATACAAGACTCAAGAGAAGCATAAGAAGGTAAACATGAAAGAGAAATCATAAGGAACTCAATAAGGTTAAATTGTTTACCTTTCTACATGGGAAGATGATATGTATCAACTTCTAAGAACTTTATCATTCTTAGGGCAGTTAGAAGGATTCTACATAGAAAAAAGGTACAAAGATGAGTTAATTATTTTAGGATAATGTACCAGAAAATAGACAGGAGAGAAAGAAGGATGCCCTAGGAGAAGGGGGAAGGAACAGGAAGAATGGGGAAATTACCTCACATGAAAGAAGCACAGAAGGAAGAGTTTTTATAATGGAGGAGGAAAAGGTGTGGGAACTGGCAATGTTTGAACTTTACACATCTAAAAATGGTTCAAAGAGGGAAAATATGTATAGGCATGCTCAACTGGTAACAGAAATCTATTTTATCCAACAAGGAATTAGGAGAGGAAGGAGATAAGTTAAAGGGGTGTGTGTGATTAAAAGGAGGACAGATAAAAGAAGGCAGTAGATAGAAGTGAAACTCATTGTAGAGGAGGGAAAGGATAAAAAGAAAGAAGGATAAATAGAAGAAAATATGATGGAGGGAAATACACAGTAATCATAACTGTAAATATGAATGGGATAAACACACCCATAAAACAGAAGTGAAT